CAACTGGTGGATTTGAACTACCTGCCCTAGATTTCGCAATTCCACAACCTACTCAACTACCAAAGCTCCCTGTAACCATATGAGGTGGTTGTTGTGTTGTTGTTGTGTGCCGTTGAGTCGTCGCCTGCAGCTCATAGTGACCCTATTAACAGCTCTAACCCTGCTCTATCCCTTGCCAATCTTACACTCTCCGACACACCTATCCCCATTACTCCAGTGACAGAATCAATTAATCTCATCAAGGGTCTTCCTCTCCTGCACTTTCCCTCTACCCTCCCAGGTATTGGCTACTAACATTTCAGTTGTTACTGTGGTTAGGTGTCATTGAGTAGAGTGCAATTCATAGCAACACTATAAACAGCAAATCTAATCCTGCCTTGCAACATGTCCAAAGTATGTCAGATGGAGCTTCAGAATTCTTGCCTCCAAGGAGCAGCCTGACTTCACCCTTTTCAGGACGAACTTGTTTATTCTCCTAACAGTCCATGATATATTCAGTACTCCTCTCCAGCACCAAAGCTCAAAGGCATCAACTCTCCTTCTCTCATCCCTAGTCATTGTCCAGCTCTCTGATGCATAGCAAGTGATGGTAAAGACCATGGCCTGTATCTGGTGCACCTTAGTCTCCAGACTGACATTGTTGCTCCTCTCCTTGGAGAGGTCTCTGCAGACTTTTCCCAGTGCAATTCTTCTTTTAATTTCCTGGCTGCTGGTACCAAGAGTGTTGATTGTAGAGCCAGGCAAACGGAAATTGTCAGTAATTTCAATCTCTTCACCATCTATCATGATGCTGTCAGTCAGTTCAGTGGTGAGAATCTTTGTTTTCTTTTTAATCTTTGCTTTCTTGGTGTTGAACTTCAGTCCATATTGAAGGCTGCAGTGCGTCACTCGCCACAGCAAGTGTTTCAGGTCCACCTTCAGCAAGTAGGGTTGCGTCATATGCATAATACAGGTTGTTGATGGGTCTACTTCCAATCCTGATGCCACATTTCACCTCATAGAGCCCAGCCTCCCAGAGAATCTGTTCTACATATAGATTGAAAAGATGTGGAGATAGGACACATCCTTGATGCACACCCTATCCATTTTTGAACCAAGCTGGTTCCTTGTTCTGTTCTGATGACTGCCTCGTCCAAGTGTAAGTTTCACATAAACATAATCAAGTGTTCTGGGATTCCCATTCTTCTCAGAGTCAGCCACAGTTTGTTGTGATCTACACCGTCAAATGGCTTTGCATAGTTAATGAAACACAAATAGACATTCCTCTGTTACTCTCTGCTTTCAGCCAAGATCCAACTGACAGTAGCTATAATATCCCTAGAGCTATGGCCTCTTCTAAATCTAGCCTGCACTTCAGGCAGTTCTCTGTTGATGTGCTGTTCCAATCGTTTTTGGATAATCTTCAGCAGAATCTTGCTTGCATGTGATATCAATGATACTGTTTGATAATTTCCACACTCTGAGGAATCACCTTTTGGAATGGGAACAAATACAGATCTCTTCCAGTCAGTAGGCCAGGAGGTTTTGTCCTCCAGATTTCTTGGCACAACTTGGTGAGCACATCCAGGGCAGTATCTGTTTGTTGAAATATGTCAGTCGGTATGCCATCAATTCCTGGGGCCTTGATTTTTGCCAATTCTTTCAGAGCTGCTTGAACTTCCTCCTTCATCACCACAGGTTCTTGCTCATATGTTGTTTCATGAAATTCTTCTGTGTGTACCAATTCCTTTTGGTGCAATGACTCTGTACTCTTTCCATCTTTTAATGCTTCCTGGATCATTTAGGTATCCTTAAAATATCCTTAAGTGTTGCAACTTGAGGTTTGAATTTCTTTGTCAATTTCTTCAGCTTAAGAAATGCTGGGTGAGTTCAGCCCTTGTGATTTTCTGACTCGAGCTCCTTGCACATTTCATTGTAATACTTTATCTTTCTGCGCTGAGGTAGACATTTATAATTTCTCCTCTTTTACAAATGACAAAAACCAAGTGTTAAAAAAGAGTAGCTGATTTTCCCAAATTTGTTCGTAAGGAGTAATTAAGAAGAAAACTCTTCTGATTTCTGGGAAAGTAAATATAGTGGAAATGACAATGTATGTTATTTTCATCATTAGTTTTATCAAGTACACTTTAGGTTGTATTTAAAGCTTTCTTCTTGTTGATAGGTGCCATTGAGTTCCAGTATGACTCATAACAATACTAGGAACAGCCATTCTGAAACCTGCCCTAGCCTGTTCCATTCTCTTTGTCTCTCAGACAAGATCCTGTTGCTGAAGTTACAGCATCAGTTCATTTCATTTGACGTTTTTTTCTCCTTTGTTGACCCTCCATCTGTCTAAGCATGATGTCCCTTTTCAAGGAATAGCCTTGCCTAGCTACCTGTAGCCCATCTTAATTGAACTCATAACACCCTAATAACTTTGGAAAACATAGCAAACTGCTTTATGTGAGCTTTTGGTCTCATAAATGCAGGTCAACAATCCCCTCCCCCCCCTTTAACATTTAAAAGTTAACAGAAAAAGGAGGAGCTGGAACTCATTAGTTGTTTTGGTTTTTTTCCCCCCCCCATTTCGTAAGGAGCTGTGGTGGCACAGTTCATGCGTTATTGGTCTTCTAGTGGTATGAAGCTCTGCTACAATCCCAAAGGCACACTTTGAATCCACCAGCTGCTCCACGGGAGGATGGGCAGTCGTCTTCTGTGTGATTTACTGCCACTGAAAACCTGCTGGAGGGTCAGCTGTGGGTCAGTTCACACTCTGGCACTTAACAACCACCAACAAGTTTTGAATCCACAAACAAGGTTTGAATCCACCAGCTAGCCGCTCTGTAGGAAGAAGATCATTCATTATGCAGTATTATGTACTGTCAAGTTGTATACTTGGTGGCTTCTTCATGTTGAATACCTTCGAGTAGGAGCGGACCCATAGCGATTTTCAGAGGCAGTCACTTGTTCAGGAAGAGATTGTCAACCCGTATCCTTCTTCTGTGAAAAGATCAGCATTCTCATATCATAAACATTTATAACCTCAAAAACCCAATTATTGTAGTTGACCTGAGAGCAATGAGTTTGGGATTTTTTTGCAAAAGATAAGAATGGGTTCTGTTGAATTAGATTAAAGCTTGTTCAAGCCTTATTCTCCTAACTAAAAGTTCTTGGTTCAAATCTTCAGCTACTGCATAGGAGAAAAATGTAGCATTCTGTTTATGCAAAGATAAAGGTTTGGAAACTCTGTGGGACAATGCCCTGCTGGGTCAGCTTTAGTTTTGAGTCAACTCTGTAATGGATTTACGTTTATTTTATTTGATGTATGTGCAAGATAATACATAGTTTATGAGGGGAGGGGAAAAAATAAACTTTGCTATCCATTTTTAAAAGCTTCTGGTAGAATGGGAGGTAGAGTAAGCCATTTCAAGGATTGACACATTGTTGCCTTCCTGCTGATGCTAATTTCTATGCATTAATAAAATAATTTAAAATAATGTGTGTTACTTGTTTTATATAAAGCTAATAATAGGGAACTCTGGTGGCCTACAGGTAAGAAGCTGCACTGCAATCCCAAAGGCACATGGTTTGAGGCCACCAGCTGTTCCACAGGAGTAGGATGGGAAATCTCCCGTGCGATTTACTGCCTCTGAAAACACGCTATAGGGTCAGTTATGGCTTGGTTTTGACATCTGTGGTACACAGCAACAGCAAAAAGCTAATTATTATTATTATTAGCAAAAGCTAATAATAACCTGCTGTGGTTGATTGAGTTCTGACTCCTATCAATCTTCCATTGAGTTTCCAAGACTAAATTTTTACCAGAGACTTCATAATCTGGTTTGTTTGTTTTTTTAAAGGAATCAATAAATATTTAATGAATACTTCCTATACTACAAACATTAAGATACATAGCAACTTTTCCCCCTAGAGTGACTGATGGATTTGAACTTCCAGTTTTTTGTTTAGCAGGCTAGCACATTAATATGTCACCAGTTTCCCTCAGTTAATATTGTTGTATGTGCCATCATATTGGAACCAACTCATAAGAAACCCTCCTGTGTGTTTTCAGAGGCTGTCAGTTGTGTGGGAAAAGATGGATCAGCTTTCTCCTGTGAACAGCTGATAGATTAGAACCTCGTCCTGCCTTTGGGTTTTCAGCGCAGCTCCTTACCATTAGTCACCAGAGCTCTTTAAGCTAATAATAATGGTTTTTTGTATCCTTGTGTCAGAACCCTCCAGCAAGTTTTTAGTAAATCTCTTGAGAAGAGATTGCCCATCTCCTCCCTCCTGGCAGCTAGTGGGTTTGAACTGTGTACCTTCAGAATATGATAGTCTTTTGAAGGGTGATTATTCTTTGTTTTCCTTATCATAGGTGATAATCCCTAATGTAACATTCTTTTATATTGTTCTAGTCAATGAAAGATACTTTGGAAAAAACTTGTTTGAAAGCTTTGCCTTCTCATTTCTGGTGTATCTCTAGTTTTATAGTCATAAAATAATTTCACATTATAAAATTAATAATGGAAGGAAAAATTCCACCCTATTTTGGAGAAGCTTATACCTCTACACTGTATCTTTGTTGTTATGTGCCATCAAGTCCTGTGACTCAGAGCGACCCTGTGTACAATACTTCTGAACCCTGTCCTATCCTGAGCCAATCTCACTGTCTCCGACACACCTGCCTGTATTATCCCAGTCTCTGTGTTAGTCCATCTCATTCAGGGTCGTTTTCTCCTGCATTGTCCCTCCAACCTTCGAAGCATGATGTTCTTCTCCAACTTCCAAGGAGCAGCCTGGTTTCATTCACTATCTCTAGGACAGATTTGTTTGTTCCGATTACAGAAATATACATTTTTTTGGATTGCAGCTCAGCTTCTAACACTAGGCCTCCTGAGTTTCCTCAATATATAATGTTTTTTTTTATGTATGTGTGAAGTTTTAAAAGAGCTTTCCCTCTAATTTTTTAACTTAATTTAATTTGTTGAAGGTAGAAAATAGAGTATAATTAAAGAGTCAGAATGTGGGATCAAGGAGGAGGACAACCTTGGCAGCAGTGGCCCTTGAACCAGCAACAATGGATGCAGTCATTCCAGCACCAACAGGATCCAAGTAAGGAAACAAATTTAGTTGTGGGGGTGGGATATTGTGATGGGGGGAAGGATAATATTAGAGGAGCTAGAATTAGGATTGCTTTATGTGAGATAAAAATGTAGTAGTCTGTTCCCTTAAAGATTTACAGGCTTGAGAACCCTATGAGGCAATTCTGCTGTGTCCTCTAGGGACACTATGATAGTAATCAATTCCATGAGAATGGATTTGTAGTTGTTTTATTGGTTAATTTTATGGGCAGAATTTTATCATTTCTCATGAATAGTTTTATCTCTTGGTATTTAGTAGAGAATGGTTTTGCTTTTGCAAGACTACTTCACAGGGCAGGCGATTTTATGAAGTTCTTCTATTTCCTAACTTGCTCCTTAGTTCTATAAAGAAAAATAACTTTTCCAGTGTATGCTGATGCATTTTTCCTGCCTGTGTTAAAAGTGCATACCTGATCTTGTTAATTCTGAATTTTCTAATGATTCAGGCTTCAGTTCTGTATAGATCGTAATCAAATGTATGGTATGCTATGTTATTTTAAAATTTTTTTTTTGTTATGGAATGTTTGTCATACAAAGGTATAAAGAATATATTTATCATTTAGCATTGATATTTGCTAATTCATTGCAAATCTTATTTTATCTCTTACCTCTTACCCAACTCTGCCTTTACATTGTATTGGTTAATCTGATGATACACTTTGAAGAACTTTAGTGGCTTAGTCATTAAAGAGTTGTACTGCCAACCCAAAGACAGATGGTTCAAATCAGTTGCTCTCAAGGAGAAAGATGAAGAGTCTCCTTTCCTGTGATTTATAGCCTCTGAAAACTCACTGGATGGTCAGCTAGTTGGTTCTGACTCCAAGGCAACAATTGAGTTTTGATTTTGATACTTTTTTAAAACAGCTATATAGTTTTCTTTTGTAGAATGTACTGTAACAACAAAACACACACTTAATTCACTTGTTTCCAATGTGTGAAATTTAGTAGTACAGATTATGTTCTTTAAGTTATCCATCTATTCTCACCATCCTTTTTCAGTTGTTAACTCCTCTATTAATATAAATACTCCTAAGCTTCCTATCTAATCTTTAAAATTGCTGTTGTTAATTTGATTTCATAGGTCTTAAAAGATAAAACATTTCTAGTTCAGCTGAATGATTGGTTTTAAGATTTTAGGGGAGATTTTTGTTTAAGGTTTAAAGATTATCTTATTGTAGGGTTCCTCCATCCTTCATGGGTCCAGAAAGTTTAGAGTCCATTAGTTTTTTAAATTCTGATCAGTGTTTCCCCCTTTTTGGCCAGTATTTTGTTACAGAATTTGATCAGGATATTTAAGAATATTATTTAGGTGATGAACAGTTCTGGTTTTAAGGCAAAGAAAGTGTGTGTTTCATAGAAGGATTAGCCACAGTAGAATATTCTGTAATTTAACAAATTGAGAGTCACTTTTGGATGTGTGAATATTTATAGCTTTTTTACTCTGAAACATTTAGCACAGTCTTCTATTAATTTCTTAGAGTTTGCTAGATCACATTTACACATCTGAAAAGTATTTACTATACATTTCCAGATTTAATTCTATATGAGTTATGCCGATTTCTGTTTCTTCCAAAGTATTGGAGAATACCTCTTTAATATTTACTAAGATGTGAAAAATCATCCTACTTTGTGGTTTTTTAATAATAATAATATTTGTTAGGTTGTGAAATAAATATACTTATTAATGGAAAAGAGAGCCTTAAAGATAACAGAGTCAAAGAATTTTGACTTAAAGATGCTGTTAAGGAAACTGTAATAGCTAGAGAAGGAACTAAGGCTAAGGGCAACTGAGGAGTGGCAGGGATAGCTATTGACATTGATCCAGAAGGAATATAGGCTTGAATTGAATGTTAGCTTGGGAAGATGAATATAGTACATAAGTAAGAAAGAAGTAAATGTCATAGTTTATTTTTTCAGTGGTTTAAAAAGAAAGTAAGTTGTTGGGTTGTTTTTTTTTTAAACTCAGTTAAGGTATGCTATTGTTGTTGTCACAACTGACTGTTGCGTGATCCTCCAGGGGGTTTTCAGAAGCAGCAAATTGCATAGGAGATTGTCCATCTTTGTTCTATTAGAGTAGCTGGTGGATTATAGGGAATATGTTACTTGTGAGTTAATACTAAAATAGGTTAAATCCTTTTTGTGGAGTACATTTTATGAAAAAACCTTAAGTAGTTTATACTCTTTTCTATCCTCAATATGAGTTCTTTTCTAAATATCCTTTAGACATAATAATGCTGTGATATTTCAGATATCTTTTACCCTTCTTTGCCTTAGTGTATTGGTTATTCTGATGATAGAAACTTTGGAAGATCTGGTAGCTTAGTGGGTAAGGAGTTGCACTGCCAACTCAACGGCATTTGGTTTAAATCCACCAGTAGCTCTGCAAGAAAAAAAGATGTGCTTTCTCCTCCTATGTGAGGGTCAGCTTTGAATACATTCCACCTTGATTGCACACAGCAAGAAGTATTAAGGGATATCTGAGATGATTAACAAGGAAGCTTATATGATAATGTCTCTGTTGTTTTGCTCCTATATTCTGAATCTTAAATTTTGCTCTGTTAATCTACATTAGGCCAGATTGACTGGGCTGCTTTGGCTCAAGCTTGGATTGCCCAAAGAGAAGCTTCAGGACAGCAAAGTATTGTAGAACAACCACCAGGAATGATA